TGACAGCAGCCGGTGGCAGGAGCCCGCCCGGCAGAAAGCGCGTCACCGGCAACATCGCGGTGCTGCTGCCGGGGGGTTGCGGGGTCCGGGCTCTTGTTCTTGTGTGGGTTGGCAGCAGCGCCGAGAGCGGAGGACCCGCACAGCGCAGCCCCTCAGCACCACAGCTTTGCTGTGGGCATCTGCAGGAGAGGGAACCGCACCGACCCGCGGCGGCACCGCTGGTTCTCGAGCAGCCCCGGGCAGAAGGCAAAGGCTGGAGGGGTGACGTGTGGGGGGAGAGCGCAGCGCTGCCCCGGCTCGCAGCCGGAGGGGCCACTGCCTGCAGATTTGTGCTCACAGATTGTCCCCAGGAGCTGGGTTTCCTCTGTCCCTTCAGACGCCGCTGTCAGGGGAGGTTACATGTGTGACGGTAGCGACGGGAACCTGGTCTCCCAAAACGTAACGCTGTTTGGGGCCAATTAGCAGAGCCCGGTCTGTGCAATAAAGTGCTGAGCCCCAGTGCCCCGGTGCTGGTGCGCCGGCAAGGGCATCGCTTACCAGGCTGCAGCACTGACATTTGGTGTGACGGTAACAGATACCGACTTGTGCTCTGAAAATCTTCCCCGGTATTTCTGAGAACACAAAGGAGGGAGCACCGGAGCGCCGCTGGGGAATTGGATAAAGATCGAGGGCGCACTTGAGAGCAGCTCAGAGTGAGGGTGCCCTTCGAATCAGGTTGCCTTGTCCTGTCCATGGACGATCTGGTCCACCATCAGCTCTGCCGGGCTGCCTTGGAAGTAAATGCCAACTTCCTATTCCCGCTCCTTCCAACTTCGCTGCTAAGATGGGAAAAACTTGGCCTTTTGCGCTGGAGCCTGGCGGGTTTTGTCTCCCTGCCGCCCCAGAGCCGAGCCCTCGCGCCCGCAGGGCTGCTCCGAACCCCGCTGGTCCCCGCTCACCCCGGGGCGCGGGCACGGCGAGCAGGACCTGCCGGAACCCCCTCCAGCGGCGCCGGAGCACAGGAACGGCACAGCCGCCACGCATCTGCTGCAGCTGCATCTCGGGCACAGATTTAACTCGCTCAACCACGGACGGGACTTCCAGGCTTGCTGATGTGATTTGGGAGCCCGAGCGCATGGACCTGGCTGTGACTACGGGTTGTGCCGGTTCCGTTCAGAAAGCCCAGTTTGGGCAGTCCAAGACGCTCCGCGTCCCTCGTAGCAGCGGGGAGCGGGCGGTACACCCCCCACCCGGAGAAGAGGAGCTCTCGGGGGGCTTGAAATGAGTATCCACGCGCAGCACTGGAAGGAAGCGTGTGCCTGGCTGTCAGCAGCCTGCAACGACGCCGTGTCCTGGGGAAACACGCTTTAATGACACAAACGTCAGCGCTGGCGCTGCCGATGCCTCAGCCCCGGGTTGATGCCTCTGAGCCTGACCGGATAGAAATGCCCGTTTTACTCCAAGTGAAAGAAACGTGTTTGTCACCACAGGCACAGCCTCCCGATTTCGGTCTCCGTGCTGGGAGCTCCTCGAGCAGCATCTCGGCTCTGCCTTCCCCTGCCGGCTCTCCCCGCTGCCGGCAGCAAAAAGCCGAGCCCGGTGAGGCCAAGCGGGAGCCGGGGGAGCTGCCGGTAAATACCAGCGCCCACATTGCCCAGCAGCATGTGGGGAGCCGGGAAGGCTGTGGGTTGGCTTTTTGGTGGGTTTTTTTGGTTTTTTTTTTTTTTGCTGTCCACATGTTTAGCATCAGCGTCCTCAGCCTGTGGTCCACCAGCGAGATGTGCGCGGCAGCCCGAGGGGCCGGCGAGCATCAGATCCCAGGGGAGAGGAGACAGGAATGCAACGGGCAGCAAGTCCGACCATCACACAAGTCCGACCATCACACAAGTCCGACCATCACACAAGTCCGACCATCGCAAGAGCCGCATAACACGCTGGGGGAGTGGGGAACCCCCTGCCCCTGGCGAAGCGCCCTGCGGGGCTCTTG